TTATCGCGAGCCGTCATGTGGGTTTGTTTTTTTTTTTTTTCTTTCTCTCACCCTCGCTCTCTCGCACTTTTTTTCCGCTTCACTCTGCACGGGAGTCTTGTGCTTTATGCTGGGCAGAGGGGGGAGGGGCGGTAGTTACACTCAGTAGCACAGGAACAGAGCAAGAGGGAGAGAGAGAGAGCCAGGGACAACAACATCACATTAGAAAGGTATAGTAATCATCCACAACTATTTTCAGTTGCAGATGATAAAGGATTCAGAAAGTTTATTCATGCGGGCCCATATGACAGAGAATATGCATCTTCTTTTTGTTTTCATATTATAATTTATATTTAATTGTGTTGTGGTTTGCAGTGTTTTGTGTTGTTTTACTTTAAATTTGTAAAAGGAAAAAGCGGAAAATTTAAATAGTTAAAAGTTGAAATGTGAATATTTGATTTTTGTATTATATGATTTATTTATTACATTTTATGTGAAGTGAATAAAAAGTATATTTACGGTTGCCCCTACAGACAAAGCACATACAAACTTCAAATCACGTATGAACTCTGAAGCACATACAAACTCCAAAACACGTAAAAACTCTGAAGCACGTAAAAACTCTGAAGCACGTAAAAACTCAAAACACGTACAAAAGACAACAGAAGTGCTCCAGGATGCTGGGCGCAGTGTTGAGCTTTTGTTACCTAGTGGCTACACAAGCCAAGAAGTACCAACAACCGGATTTGGTGTGTGGTAGTAACAGGTAAATGAACTTTTTTTTAAATTATTTGAATATATATGAGTGCCTGTGTATAAATACACAAACAATACACACATGCTTTCAATTGTGTAATTTAAGTGATCTAGTAGCTCTGCTTTGGAAGTTCAGTTCATGCTAGAAATGTGTTTTGGAGTTTGTACATGTTTTGTCTCTAGGGACCACCACATATATTTATATATAAACATATACAAATAAAACCACTTTTTTTTACGTTAGTAATTCCTTTTGTGCATAATTTTATATTATTGTTAACAATAAATTAATTAAAGCAACAAAACAACCTGAAGATGTCAGATGTCTATTCATATTAATGTACAGAATTCACCTGCTTGCTGCTACTACTGCACATTCACCCAGTGTATATACTATATATATATATATATGATGTTCTTCCTCTACACCCCCCCCCCCCCCACAATTTTTGCACATGTCGAGGAGCGTGTCAGGCCACATTTCACTGTGTGTTATACTTGTATAACTATGCATGTGACAAATAAAGAACCTTGAACCTTGAAGAGCCGGCTCTTTTTAGTGAGTCGAACCGAAAGAGCCGGTGCTCTAAAAAAAGCCGGAAATCCCATCACTACTGCAGAAACGATTCAAAAAGTTAAAGTCTGCTTCCTGGTTGTGTCACGCTTGCTGTACGAGAATAAAAAAAACGGACGCTTCAGTGAACAGATTTGAAGTTTTCCTATCGTGTACTCAAAATCGGCCTTTAAAGAATGAATTTTCATGTGCTAACACATATCTAGGTGTAAGACAAAAAAATTTTTTTCATTATACAGCATCAACAACTACAAATGAATTATATTCGTACACGAACCGGTGAGACTTACACATCTGCATCACTCTATTTTCGTGTGCCGAACGGTTTCCATTGTGTAGATACGACAATATTTTGTATCTCCGACAGAAATCTGAAATATACCATAAATCAACGAGACTGTGATCACACATCCATCATTGAGAGAATGATCTATGATCACAGGGGAAAATCCTAATCAAAACTCTAAAAACGAAACTATGGAAACCCAAGTAAAGCTCTATGCGTGTCATGTAACATACCATATACACATACCAGACAAAACAACATCAAAAAGCTACCCACCTTTGTATTTTTCACCCCTTCAGGCTCTTGTTTTCTCCTTCATGCAGTAGATTTACAAGCAAACTTTTCCGTTACTGTAGAGCACAGAAGCACATTTCACTCGCCTTCTAGAACACTCCTGTTACGCGGTTTGATGAACACTTTCACTTCCGGTTTCATGACCAAGCCACTGCACTCACCCTACAGTTTACACCAATGACTGTACACCGATGACTCTGACCACTGACACCAATGAAAAACTACTAAAGCGCAGTCTTCTCTTTCTGTTTATTCTGCGCTGTTGCAGATCTTTACTGGAGGCAAAGTGAAGCTTTCTAAAGGATTGAAGCTTGTATAGAAAAATGGTTCATTTCTCGAAGCCAATACTATTTAGTGCCCTCTGGTGGTCAAATATATGAAGAGCAGCTTGACTCTACAACTTGAAATTAACTGCTTTATTACGACTGCCGACTCTTTTATCAGGTGAATTAAGAGCTTTGTTTGATAGAAGCAAGAATATATTCCAAAAGCAATTTTCCTAACTTGTTTTTTAGTCTTTCCAGCTTCAAACCAATGACTGTAGAAAACAGTTTTCTACAGTCATTGCTTCAAACAGTCTCAAGGAGGCAGTATTATTTCCGGGTTATGGGGACTACACTTCCGGTGTTATTTAGCGAAGAAATCGCTGTACATGCTCTCGGCCATGATATAAAGAAACTTTTTAATTTGAAGTTGTCCTTTGAAGGTGAGTTTTCTTTACAGACGAATTGCTCTGTTTCGACGCTTCATACTAAATTAGACGGTTAGCTTACCTGAGTCATAGCACTGCTGTGTAGGGTTAGCCCTCCTGTGATATTATCGAGTCGATGCAAGAGGACTGCATAGGCTAGAATAGAATTCAACTTTACTGTCATTGCACATGTCACAAGTACAAGGCAACGAAATGCGGTTTGCATCCATCCAGAAAGTGCTTTAGACATAATATAGGTATATTACGAAATATATATTAGCAATAATATAGATATATTACAGAAAAGGGTCTGTTATAGGTATGAGGGTACAAAAATGGATCTATTATGGGTATGCTACAATGTACATGTATGAAGGTATGTTATGAATATGCTATAACTATAAGTATGTACAGGCTGTAGTGAGTGTACAGGCTATGAACAGGATATAAATATGAAGCTATACAGAAATATGAAATATAAAAAAACTATACGGAAATATTAAATATAAGCTATACAGAAATATGATATGAACTATGCAAGTTAACCGTTTATAGAATTATAATTATTGTATTGTACAGAATGATTGTCTAGACAGCATTTACAGTAGTGCAGTTTAGAATATAGAGATATGTGGATAATCTCTACAAAACTACTATATAACTATATATATATATATATATATATATATATATATAACTACTGCGCTCTGCATCTAAAAATTCACTTTAAACTACACTACCATTCAAATGTTTTAGAACACCCCAGTTGTTCCAGTTTTTTATTGAAAATTATGTAGTTTAATGTCTCACAGCACTCTGAAATGAAAGCATAGTACAAATAAGTAATTGGAGTTAAAAAAAATAAATAATCATGGAGTCAATTTATAGACCAAAATGTATTCTAAACTTCTTACTTTTCAAAGTAGCCACTTTTGGCTCAAATAACAGCTGAACTCACCCGTGGCATTCTTTCTACAATAGAAATAAAATATTCTTCAGAAGGTTCTTTCCATATCTGTTGCAGAAGTTCCTATAAATGTGTGGCACTTGTAGGTTGCTTTGCTTTCACTCTTTTGTCCAGTTCATCTTTTAAATCTGGAGACTCATGTTTTCAGGGTTACCATCTTGGTCTTTTTTCCTGAGGTAGTTCTGGCATAACTTGAACTTGTTTCTGAGTGTCTGTTGATAGTGAAGGAAGCTGTACTCACTGACAATTTGACTTTCTCTGCAATTTCTCTGTAGGGAAGACCTACATTTTTAAGTGTTATGATGGTCTGTCTCTTTTGTATTGTTAATTGCCTTTTCCCCACCATTTTTGTAGCAACACACTACTTTCTGCAGTGCAATACTGTTCAACTGATGCTCACAAGTGTGTTCCAACACTGCTTTTATGCAGACACACGGGGTTGTAAGTAATCCAGAAAAGCTGGAACCCCAGTAGGAATTAGCAGCACCAGCTTTCAAGGCTTGATCAACTTCCACTGCTGCAGAACAGCTTTAAATTGTTAATGCATTTTGTGTTCTCTGAAAAAGACCTTTTGTATAATTCTGAAATGTAAATAGTTTTTCAGTTTTGGGTAACCTTACCTGTTTTTTTAACCTCTGGCAGTTCACCACTTACCCTTGGACCATTTCAAGATGTTGATTGGACCTGAACAACTTGAATTGCAATAAATAACTGGAAAAATTGGGGTGATCCAAAACCGGTAGTGTATATTTAATCCCATTTTAAAATCTGTATTTAATTTAACTGTACTACAATAATATATTTTAGAAATGCTCATCTTGTACAAAATATCCTCTCATGATAAAATGGCTGATTACTACAAGTTATTGTTCAATGCTCTGCACAGATGTGAGGTCCTTTAGATTTTATTCTGAGCTGAGAATAAATCCAGCATGACCTCATGGCTGCTGTACTGTCCACGCTTAATAAATGCAACATTACTAAACACAATCCTCTGTGGTTGGACTTAAGTATTTATAAAGATGTAAGCTTACGCAGTTTAAATCGTTGGAACCTTATTTAATAGATCCTTCATGCTCAGCAGGAGGGAAGGAGTCAGAGAGAGCAGATTAGGTTCAAAACTCTTTTAACCCAGCAACTGACCCTGTGTTTATGCTGTTGGAGGTGAAACAGTGAGTTCCCCTTATCTCAGGGGCAACAAGAAGTGGCAGTGTTTCCAGTAGCTTAATTTGTGTTTCCTAAATTTCGATCTTGATTTTAAAAAAATGCTTGTTCATACCTGCTTTGTATTATTATTTTTTTATTGCCAGATACATCCCAAATATTTTATCCGATTAAAGGTATCCTGAGGATAATCTGACCATGTTACACCACCTTCTGTTGTCTTTCCTTAGCTTCTTCGTGTGGCCCCACCTGATACCCCAACTTGATCCCCTGGCACAAATCTAAACATGACGGAGCCACGCAACCCCAGTATGTCCTCCATCCCTCAGACGGGCCCTGCACACACAGACTCCAGCTCACCTGCTGTAGAGATGGACCCAGTGGAGTACACTCTAAGGAAGCGTCTTCCCCGGAAGCTCCCAAAAAGACGCAACGACGTCTACGTCAACATGAAGACGGACTTCCGCGCTCAGCTAGCGCGATGTCAGAAGCTTCTGGAAGGTGGGGGTCACAGAGAGATCTGTGTTCACGGCTTGGGCCTGGCCATCAACCGGGCTATTAACATTGCCCTTCAGCTGCAGGCCAGCAGTCAGGGGGCGCTACAGCTGGCAGCCAACACCTCCACAGTGGAGCTTGTGGACGACCTGGAGCCCGAAGATCCGGACGAGGCTGGAGAGCCGATGACGCGTACACGTAACAATTCGGCCATTCACATAAAGGTGTTCTATCCTGACGCTCAGTGACCAATCAGGAGGTTTCCTGTGGATCAGCCTGAGATTCTCCATTAGTCCTCAGGCCCTGTTTGTTCCTTCGTTAACCAGTAGATCACAAACACTGAGTTTATGTGGAGAGCCACCTTTGCTATTCATGTGTTGTATACATTTTTCAGTCTGCATGCTTTGGAGCAACACTAGTGTGCACTATAATTTATACATATGTGGCTGTGCCAACTTTTTTTTTTATGTGTATAATGTTTGTGTGTTCAGGTTTTAAAGATGCCGATAAGAAAGCAGCAAACAGGTGTTATTGTTGTAAATCTCCACTAGGTGGCAGTAGCAGCTACAATAAACATGCCAGGAAGTTGTTACTCTGCAGACTAACTTCTATAGCTCCATCACAACAGTGTTTTGTCAAATTGTTTACAGTGTGAGTTCAGCTGAGGGTCACTGAGACGTAGACTCTGTTTAAATGTGATTTGTGTCTCTGAACTGCTGCTCAAAATGTATATAATGAATGCTGGATTGTTTGAAATCTGGGTAAAATAAAAACTTGCCAGAGTGTATCTTTCTTTAACTGTTATTTCTGTATTCGTGGCTGGAAAATTTGTATGTGGAACCAGTAAATTCTGCTGTGGCAGCTTGTACTTGTGCTTGCTTGTTCACCCCATCGAGAGGGGAAAAAAGGCAAAAATAATGAACGAGATGCACAAACTTCCCCTTTGTTGTGTTTCCATCCATCCTTTCTTTATCCGAGAACAACATTTCGTATTTAAATAGGGAATCATACAGTGATGGGACAAAACAACACAAAACAGGAAAGAAAACGCATACAAACATCCTTAAAAACATCTTGCACTTGCACGACAAGATATAAAAATAAGGGGAAAAAACAAGGAAGAACACTTAACTAATCTGAAACAGTTGAGCATCCATTTTACAGAAAGCCTCGAGTTCCCAGGGCTCGCTGATTGCCTGGCTGAGGTTTGATGACGAACAATAGAGGGAGGGAGAAGACGGCGTCGCGTCAGCCTCTGGAAAACTATTTGCAATTACAGCCACACAGGATGTAAATTGTACGTTTTTCCAGACAGTCTGGCTATCAGCGTGTAGAGACTGGGTGAGTGTAGTCAGGCAAAAACAACAACACGGACAATGACGTAGCAGCTTCACAGTTCTCATGTAACCCTCCTCACTGACCTCTCACACCCCCAAACTCACTGGAACTGAACATCAGCTATGTAAGCCTTTGTTATTTGGAAAGGACATGCAGTATCAAACAGGCAATCAGGTACACACAATCATCAAAAACAAAAGAAGAAAGAGCAGCAAACACCTTTGCAAATGTGTTCAGTGTTACACAACAAAACATGACAAAGAGCCCAACTAGCATGTTAGACCTGACACTACGTCAAAGATTGAGCTTAAAGTAGAAAAATCTGTATAAATAGTAATTCCTCAACTTAAAAATATATTAAAATATTCACTGAAAAAAATCTGAGAGACTGTGTCTGTGAGGCAAAGTTGAAAAATGTGGAAACCATGAGTGAGGCCACGTTAGTTTCTGCCTCCAGTAGTGAAATTGATGCCCAGGTGTAGTCAGTATTAACTGGGTGTTTCCCTCTAAAGAAATAAGTGTAAGGGTCAGACTCGCTGAAAACAGACGCACACGGACGACACTGAAACGTTCAGTCTTAGCTCACCCTGAAGTACATTCACACACAAAGTGCAAGAGAGTGCCAGTAAAACAGCTATTGGAGCAGTGCTTTCCAAAAGCATCACTTTGGTCTTTGTCACCGTGTCCATGAGTCACATCTACTTTCCAAGGTGCGTTCATCTCCTGTCCATCCAAAGCGTTGCTGAGACAGTCCTATCCTTTCAGCTCTTCCTCTGCATGCGACGACTGCTGCGTCTTTCTCATTCCACACCGCTTCCAGCAGCGTGCAGGTTAACCAGTGTCACATTTCTCCTCTTGCCTTTGGAAACACAAATTTCTTCGCCCGGGATGGGGCGATCGGTCGATCAGCTGACATCTGGCTTGCATGCCTGTGCACTTGAAAGAAGAAGGTGCACTTTGCCTCGCAGGAAGTTGACGTGGACCTGAAGCAGATCTGTTGCTAAGGACACCCTCCATGTTCCCTCAAGGTCTGTTGCATTTGCTGGTGGTGTAAATTCCTGAAAGAGAATACAAAGAAACACGATGTGACCCCTGAGTCATGTTCTTACGACAGGAGTTTGTCCTTCAGGACAGTTTGGACCTGAATGTCTGTGACTGTGCTCCGTTTGTCTGTTGCCAAAGAAAGAGTCTCTATTTCACTTTAATGCAATAAGTGAGACCATCTTAGAAACAAATGCACTGTCTCTAATCATCAAGTACATACCTTTCCCCACATTTTCCAGATTTTTTAACAGTAATATTATTTTTATATGGTTTATGCAAAGTAGCAATGATAAGAATAAAACATGCATCACTCTTCTGCAATGCCTTTTCCTAATCTTGCCCAGCACATGTCCAGAGGCGTAGATGTGCTGGAACACAGTGTACTGATGCTTCACCAATTTTTCCCCCAAATAACAAAATTCGAGCCAACATTCACAGCTGGCTCGATTGGTTATCACAGTTATTAAGACAGACAACAACAAAAAATGTGGGGTCAAAGTTGTGATAGTGGTATTTAGGGCTAGATTTACTATTCTGCACAGGTGCAAAAACTTCTTTTCACATCAAAAATCTTGTTTACCAAAGAGCATTTCCAAAAATGAACCATAGGGGTGGAAGGACTCACGGTGCACTAATTTATATATAAAGATGCAGTCTGTTCCAATATTCAACTACTAAGAGCCGCACAAATTAGTGGCTCCAAAGTTAGCACACGCAATGAGGGTCAAGTGATGTCCTAGTAACAGTAATATTGTGGAGGCTCAGGTTTTACACATCAGTTTCTCTATGGAAACAGTGTAGCACTTAAGATGAATGAAAGGAGGCTGAATGTTTATGATATGAGGGCCCTTTTTTTGCTGCAGCCTGTAATAAATAAATGTAGTATTACATAGTTTAAGATTCAAACACTGATAGTGACACACTAACAAAGTCCCATTAACAGCTGTGTGCACACTTCTGTAAATATTTTAATTATGTATCAATATTAAGGTAGAAATGCAACCGAAAGCCTGAAAGTTCAGCTCAGTCTATTCTGCTTGGTTTCATTCACATATTAACATCATAAGTGAAGAGCAGGAGGGGACTTGGCTCTAAACGTGCAGTGTGAGAACACGGGGAAGTTGCAGGACAAAGTTTTGGCACTGCACTCACAGCTGGAGCCATCTCCCAGAGTACCAGTTACTCACTCGTTCATTGAACACAAATCACATTAACTGTGACAACCGAACAACACATGCTTTTTTTTTAATGTTAAATTTAGTGTTAAACTGTTATGTTTGTGTTCTGAGAGGGAAATTCCAAAAGTAGCTTTTAAAGCACCCAAAGATGTTTTACTTTGGTGCAGACTGTCTGTGCAAACCACAAATCATTTAATATCCGTTTCTTTTTCTTCTGCTCTCAAATCTGTAATATACTATTGACCTTGTAGTACCATATCACCCTATTAGAGCGCTTCACTCTCGCTCTGCAGGCCTACTTGTTGTTCCTAGAGTATTTAAAAGTAGGATGGGAGGGAGAGCCTTCAGTTTTCAGGCCCCTCTTCTGTGGAACCAGCTTCCAGTTTGGATTCGGGAGACAGACACTATCTCTACTTTCAAGATTAGGCTTAAAACTTTCCTTTTTGCTAAAGCATATAGTTAGGGCTGGACCAGGTGACCCTGAATCCTCCCTTAGTTATGCAATAGGTGTAGGCTGCTGGAGGATTCCCATGATGCATTGAGTTTTTCCTTTCAGTCACCTTTCTCACTCAACATGTTAATAGACCTCTCTGCTGAATCACACTTGTTATTAACCTCTGTCTCTCTTCCACAGCATGTCTTCATCCTGTCTTCCTTCTCTCACCCCAAGCAGTTGCAGCACATGGCCCCGCCCCCCCTGAGCCTGGTTTTGCTGGAGGTTTCTTCCTGTTAAAAGGGAATTTTTTCCTCCCATTGTTGCCAAAGTGCTTGCTCATAGTAGGCACATATGATTGTTGGGGTTTTCTCTGTATGTATTATTGTAGGGTCTACCTTGCAATATAAAGCGACTGTTGTTGTGATTTGGTGCTGAATTGAATATTCACTACTGAAGTGTCAAACTGCTGCAGTTCTCTAACTCTGATATTATCTTTGTAAATGCATGCAGTAGAATTCAAAATTCACCAGAGAATAGGAGAGGGAGAGAGATGGCATCATAGTTAGGGAGTGCATGGACATCTATCCCACAGGAAGTAATGTGAAAAGAGAGAGTAGATGTGTCCGAGGAGGAGAGAGCGGTGAGCAACAAGTAAGGAGTGATAAGCATGGTTAGACAGAAGACTTCATATATTTTTAAAGTCAGTTTGATCCCATTTGCTTAGTTATAGTTGAATAATGGTCAAAAATGTAGAGCTTTAGAAGCAGATAACTCAAAAGTGCCTGACTGATGTGCTCCACTACAAATAGCACTGCACCTCTGCACATGCCTGACCCGACTAAATTAGCTGACTGCTTTCAAAACCCACTACCACAGCTTATACTGCTCATTAAAGAGGGTCTAAATGGACAACAATCAGATATCAAAGCAAGATCCCCTTTGGTTGTGAACCAAATATTGCACATTTTGGCACCTGACCATGACCATTTGCCCATGTACACAGTGACAACAAAGTGATGTTTGCTGGGCAGCTGCTGACCTGTTATTCCTGAATTACTACCTGGGAAGCTTCTCCAACTCACCTGGATGTTGAGACTACGCAACACAGCGTTGATGCTGAGCAGGTTTCTGATGGTGTTGTCTATGTGACTGTGCATTGCTGTGTTGGTGACCGACGTCTGTAGCGTGTTGAGGGACTGTTGTAACAACCATAAGCCAGTCTGCACCTCCTGGGCTTGTTCCTGTGCCTTGCACGAAAAAAAAACCGGGGGCAGGATTTAAAGACCGTCCCTATACTAGAACAAACGGAGCCAGTAATAATGATCAGATTAGAAACGAACAGGTACTACGGCTTTGCCCACAGGTCGACTGAATTTGATAGCTGATTTAAATCTGCTGCTTAACATCCAGCAGTCATCAGTGATTACTTACATTTTTCTTCTCCCATACATCAAAGTCTACTGTAGTCTGGGGGACGGTGACAGACTGGGACAGGCCACAGCCTTCTCTACATGACTTCTGCAAAAAGAGAGAGAGAGTATTGATGACTTCAGCAGACAAAGAGTCTTTAGAGGACAACATAAAGCAACCTTCAGCTGCTCTCAGGTTTTAATGCATGCATACATTTTCCTCTCACCATAGCACCTTCTGCGTCTCGTGCTTCCTGTATGAAATGGTTCAGGACCCTCAGGTCACAAATTGGCCTCAGTGGGGATGACAAGCCTGGCTGGGTCCAGTCCAACACTAACAACAGCAAGGCAAGCAGTCCTGCTTATCACACACAACGGACACACAAACACATTTCATCAAAGTCTGGCGATGGTTTGATACCACTTCACATGTGCAGTACCAGCACTGAAACTGTGACACTGAGTTTCTTCTGAGCTGAAAACACGTTTTACATTTTCATTAACAAAAGAAACGTAACTTAGTTTTCAAACCATCCGCTGTGTTTCTAATGATAAATCTGTCTTCATTGCATGTTGCAGTTAAGCATTTACATAATTTTTATGCTGAAATCATATCAGATTTTTCTCTACCATCCATATATACATCTTCAAGTTAACAGCATGGCTTGGTGCATAATTTGCACTTGTAAGAGGGCAACAGCTGTGAGAGAAAGTGTGGGAATACTGAATAATATAAGTTTAGTTTAAGACATAACAGCCATATTATAATCATGGCACTCAAGAGGACTTCAGATATATAAGGGATAAGCATAGTCAAATATAAGCACAATCTAAACTTTTGTGTATGACACCACAATGTGCAAGTGATATGCACATTAACAGTTAAGCATGGTTCATTGTTTCACTAACATTTTAAAATGTCTTTCTCATGCGGACTCTGCAGGTCACCCCTCAGGTAAAGAGCTGTGAGGCTGGTAATTTTCCATTTGTTTTACTTCTCTGCTTGTTTGTAGGTCAACTTTGACCATTCTTTCATGACATGCTTCACGTCAAAATAATATTTTATTTAGGGGAACAGGGAGAAGATGAGCCTCTTGATGTTTTTGTGCATCCGTCTAACCAGCATGAGCAAACAAACAGAAACCTAAATCCAGACCGATACAAAATATGAAGTAATCTAGTTCATAGAGCAGCCTAACGTAACCAGACAAACCAAGAGGCACAGGCTCTGATGCCAATGGCTGGGAAACTTTACAAAGAAGCAAGCAGAGCAAATGTTCTACATAGTCTTAAAGTAACACTTCTGCCCAGGTCAGGTCCATCATTCTGAAAACAAATTATAAGAAAAAATAAAGTATCTTAGTAAGATACTGTACCTCAGTGCTCCTTGGTACTGGTACTTCAACTATCTGTAACTCTACTGGAAGCATGGAACATTGATCCACCAAACGATATCGTCTCATTTGATGTTTGAGCGCGGTCTAGCACGCCAGCCCAAACTCTACCATTGGTGTCCGACTGGGTTAAGAGCTGGTGCCTACAAAGGTGACAGCAGATGATTTACAGAGATCTGCTGAGGAAACAAGTGGACCTAAACCATGCAAGCAAAATAACCACCACTGGCTAACAGAACCAGGTCAGATCATCTCAGTGGAGCCATCCAGATTCTTTTTTCCTCACTTATTACCCCTCTGGGAATTTTCGTACGTATAGCCGCATAGCCAGGGATCCTTCAGAAAAAGTAATTCTACCAAGTGATAAAATCGTGACAACTATTTAAATACACAACTACAGAAGAGACATCAGCTAAAGGAAAATGCACTCAAATGCTGAAGAACACAAAACAATCTATTTATTTGTTGTCACACTTAATTCAGACCCCTGCTGTCCTGTGACCTGTGTTCAGTGTGAGAACATGTGAGGCTAGAGGACTGTGTCAGTTAGCCAACAAAAGCCTTTCTAGGAATAGTGTACCTAACTTTGATGCATTGCTACTGACTGAGCTGCTCAGTCTTAGTATGTGATGCATTACTGTTTAAGCTGTGTCACAACAGCATGATTCGGCAAATGAAACCATGTGATCTGCTGCATTATGAACAGAAACCTGCAGATACCATGACAGTGCAGGAATGACCTTGTTTAATCCTTGCTGTAACAGGGTATTTCCACAGCTGGGACATTAGTCAGCTGTGTTTCTAACTTTTTCCCATGAGCATAAAAGAAACTTGTCACATTCATAGAAATCAAGCCACATTCTGAACTCTAACGATACACTTGGAAATCTTGAGGGTCATGTGGGCATCAGCCTTGTTCCTCTGTGCCACATGTTGAATACGCTCTTTCACAGCAGCCTGGCTGTGTGACGCAAAAGCATGACAGAAAATACAGATGATTTTCCCAGGCAGATGGGGCTGATACAGGTCACATTAGGTTCTCAGACCTCCTCATAACTACAACAAATTGAGATGGTTTCCAATATTAGATGAAGTCTTTTGAAAGTGATAACACAAGAGAAAACATCAAGAAGAGGTCAACAGCCCTCTACACCTCCCGTTTTCCTCGTTGGCAGTGACATGAGGATTGTCAGTGGCACATCTGCTTCTATATAACTGGAATCTGGGCTTTTTCACCCTCAGTGACAGAAAGTTTAATTGTTATTTGAAAAATAACAACATATAGTTACCAGTGCAGTCTCTGATAAAATAACATATGCAAGTTTGAGAGGCAAACTGGTCTCTGCTTCTTTTTTTCCCATCCGATCTGGCATTTGTTAGTGTGTGTGACTCAGCTTGAGGGTTATCAGCGAACTTTTCAACTCCACCACTGCCTACGTGAGAATTCATCAATCTAAAAAGTGTACGCACATGCATCCACTCTCGACTTTCTCACCACGATGGTGGAATTTGCGGCCCAGGACTGCGGCCAGACTGGAAGTTAACAGGTTCGCCTGCCAACGGCTGCCAAAACCATGTTGCTATTTTAAATTGAAATCAGCAGTCCACAAGTGGCAGTACTTTGGATAATGGCAAACTTCAGGCCAGGTATGTGACAGATGCTTTGCAAAGGTGACCGGCCGACTTAAAGTTGGCACTTTTGGTATGCGTTATTCTATCTAACTCTCACAAACACGTGCAAAAAGACTGTAGCATTTTAGATGGCACACAGGGCTGATAAGGAGATCCTATTTAAAACACATATCACCAGTGGAATGGTTGCTGCTGAATGCTTTGCAGTCTTCTACTTTGAACAGGTCTTCCACATGATAAAGTGCAGAGTTGTAAATAGGTAGCTATCAGATGACACAGGTCTGACATAATTTCCTGTTCTGCTGGAATCCCTTATAGCGGTCACCCTTTGATAACCCTTTGCTCTTTTCTGCTGACTTAAGTATGCGATGACTGTGCCAGAAAGCACAGATTCAGCTTGCATGTTTGAACATTTTCCAGTATGCTGTGTCACGCTAGAGAAACGCAGTGGAGATGGATTTCCCCAATGAACGAGACAAAAAAAGTCCTCAATACTCAGCACCTCATGTAGAGCAGCGATTTGCAGTAACAACTGCTTCATCAGCAGACTTTTTTTTTGTCATAAACATGCATATTCACTCCATCATACATTTGTTCCACCAAATACAATTCATTGGCTTTATTTCATTTTTAAATGTTAGTATCTTAAATAATCAAGAGCCTCTGGGTGTATTACAGTCTTAAAGCACGGTTCAACGTATAACTATGCTACAGGGAGTAAAGCACAAAAGAAGAAAAATGACAATCCTGTAGCACAGGACTGTCATTTTTCTTCTTTTTCTTCTTTTGTGATCTGCGAAAAACCGGAAAAAGTAGCAACTTATCTCCAGATGCTTAAATCCCAAACCCAGAACCAATATTCTTCCATACAGGATAAGCTGTACATCGAGAAGCCTAAATGCAAGCATCCATGTGTCATCAGCGTGATGAGCGTGTTCAAAAATGCCCAGCACAGAGACCGCTGTGGCACGCAGGTCATGCACACCAAGCGAGGCACCAAAATAGAAATCTCACATGCGCTCTTACCTCTACCTGTTTTCTGCAACATTCGCAAACAGGTGCAGCATCTTTAAAACACATCGTGAAACAACTAAACACATGCGCAGGCGTCACGATTCAGGTTCCGTCCAACAGATCCAATACACCACCAAGTGCGCTGGTCTCTGCGTGAATCCCGACCAGCGTGCAGGTCCGTGTAAAAAAATAGGTCCGTGCAGTCACCTTCCACACTTTGCATCACCGCTGTGCTTTGGCAAAACCTTTTATTTACCTCCCCCAAGGATATAGTGATAACGTGATAGCCCGCAAGAACGACTACGCGCCTTTCTACGTACCGCGGTGACATTAAACATCAACCCACCATGCAGTGACTCATTGCGTAAAGAGTGAAAATAGAGTAACTAGTAAAGCCAGAGTACAGAGAAAAAAACATGAAGGCATGCCCATAACTCACTGGGAAACTCCATAGCGGCATCCGCATAGCCCCTCACAGGGTCCTCGCGGTTTGGCCCATAGGTCCGTCTATTGCCCATTAATTGGAAACGAAGCTCTTTTGTGGATCTCTTGTGCACTTATCCGGTAGGTGTTTCTAAAAAGTGATGCCGTTTGATTTTTTTTATTGATGACTTTGAAAATATAGTTGCATTGTTTTAGTGATGACAATATAAGCCGCTCCTCCCTTAAGGCAAAATGTTTTCTTTCATCGTTATCCAAATAATAGCCCCATCGGTGTTTAGATAACAAAAAGTAAATAATGCCTCAAAAAAAGCCGCGCAGACACTTCCCATTCATTGTCTGGGTGCTTTCAGAAACGCTCATTAGAATATATTTATTGCCGAAAATGACAAAAGAAAACTTCAGAAATGCTTTCGTTTGTTTTCTCTTTCTTTGTTTTATACGCCGTTTTTCATTAAAAAAGCGTATTTGTTTTGAGGTGGAGTTTGGTAAAGAGGGACGGTTTTTTGGAAAGTTTACATACATTAGCAGCTTAACCCCCCAAAAGTTACGTTTTCTTAAACGACTTCTCTTTTGTTCTATGTTAATAGATTTTTTTCGGGTCTGTGTTTTTATGTTTCACAGGTGATTCTCACATAGACACTCTGTGCCCACCAGCCTGTGACCAGGTAAATTGGGTCATGTGTAAAATGGGCTGTTAAATATTTATCAAAGACAAATTTTGAACAAAGAAGGCAAATAGTTTATTTAACATTTAGATCTCAAGAGAATAGTGTTTGTGTTTATATTTTATGTAGAAATATATTATTAATCTATTTTGTGGCTTTGTTAGTTTCCATTGCTCTGTAATGAAGGATATTTGGTTTCACTTTCCCGTTTCTTGATATTCCTCTGCTCTTCTCATCCCATCTTCTAGCCACTGATTGTATTTCCTGTCTGAAGTGACATCCTGTCTCTGTTTTGTACCTTTCCCCCATTTTTTAACATTTCTTCCCTCCGGAAGAAAAAGTGATAGGCTTTTTTTTCTTTTTAAAAAAAAATTCCATCTACCTTATCCTCTAGCCTATCCAAACTGAGAAGTAAGGTGCAACCTGGATAGGTAATTGCTGTTTCTTAAGTTATTACGGAAAATATGTAGCATTTCAAATATCACTGCACTACCTATTTTATCGCCCCATCCCTGAGCTACCGTACCTTCCTTAGCAACCTTAGACCAATAAAACCAGAACACATCAAATACATTTTTGCAGCACTTTAAAAATATCTAAGTGAGGAGGGAAATGAATCAAGTTTGTGTTCTTTTGGTTAGCAGTGATTTTTCCTTGAAACTCTCAGATGGATGCCATTTTTGTCCAATCACGTTCTTTTTGTTGAATCATCAATACTGAACATAACTCATCATCATCGTTTAACTGAGGCAAGTGAGGCCTGTACTTCTTTAGACGTTGGTCTGGGTTCTTTTGTGATGTCCGGGATGCGTCATCGAAGCATCTTGAAGTATTTTTTGTACGCTGGGAAGTTTCACCACTGTTCTGTGTTTTAGCCTTTTGTGGATGATGGCTCTCATTTTGGTTTTCTGGAGTACTGTTAATTAATGTTAATCAAGGGGACAATCACTTTTTTCACTCATGGTCAGTTGTTTAAAAATGTTACATTTTTTGTTACATTGTTAATCTCCCTGTTATCTACAATTCTGTTGCCATCTTTTATATTGGGGGTCAGTTTGACTCAAAAATGATGCATTATTTATCCAAGAAGTTACCATAGCATGAAGAAGCATGAAACAAAACACACTTAGAAGGATTTATTCATTATAGAGATGAAAAAAGAAACAAAAAAAACATATAGAAAGTCAGTTTTGGCATTGTTCAGACTGTTTAATAGTAGTGTTCTGTGGATATGAATTAGATCTTTAAGACAGCATCACCAAATGAACTTTATAAGTATTCCAGATGTGGTCTAGGTGTCCCTCATCTCTCACTATGAATTTCAGCATGTCTTCACGTAAAGTAAATGCTTCTGAAGAATACTCCTTGCATTTAGATTTTCATAGTTCTGGTGCTTGCTGTATAGGAAACTGGAAGCACCATGGCTCCGTGGGAGGACATTTTTCATTTCCTTGATGCAAAAGATAACAGTGACTTCATCAGGCAGTTTTCACTCTCCTCAACATGGTAATTCTTCGTATTCAACAGCTCCTCCTATAGCATGAGTCTAATACGTCACACATTGCAGTCATTTGTCACTCTCTCTGGCTCTGCCTCTAATCAAAGCATATGCTTGGGAGAGCACATGGAAGCCTGCAGAGACATGGTGAGTGGAAAGACTGACCTTCCCCTGTCAGCATTCCACAGCGTCGCTGCTTTCACCTTCTGACATGTACCCTCCTGTCCAAATGAGGAAACCACTGAAACTTTCAAGTGGGGCACAACCAAGTCTTTCCTACTTTCCATAAATGTGCCTATTTCAGCCTTGTTATCTCTACTTTTCACGATGCTGCTATTTATCTTGTATCTCGGAGATGGCTGATAGCTATGCTGAGAGTGGTCAAAGGAGCTTTGAAAGAAAAGCGTCTGGACTTCTTTAAGTTGCTTGAAGACGTTTCACCTCTCATCCGAGAAGCTTCTTCAGTTCTAAGGTCAAATGGCGGAGAGTCCCAGATTTAAACCAGTGGGAGTATCCCCCAAAGAGGGACAAAAGGACCCCTGATAGTCCTCTAATCACATGAGCCAAGGTGTGAAAACGGGTGTGGGTCACAATCAGCCAGGGTTTCGGGTGAGCTCATTGTGAAACCTGACCCCACCTTATCATGCGATTTCCTGAGGTCAGATGGCCCAGGATGTCCCCAGACGCCTTAACGCCCACTCACATTTGACCTTAGAACTGAAGAAGCTTCTCGGATGAGAGGTGAAACGTCTTCAGCAACT